AGCTCACAGCAACCTCAAACTCTTGGACTCAAACAATCCTCTTGCCTCAGCCTCCCAAGTAGCTAGGACTATAGGTCCTGCCACAACACCCAGCTAGGTTTTTTTTAGAGATGGGCTCTCACACTTGCTCAGGCTGGTCTCAAACTCGTGAGCTGAAGTGATCCACCAACTGTTGCCTCCCAGAGTGCTGGGATTACAGGCGTGAGCCACTGGGCCTAGCCTGTGAAAATAATTTTTTACATACCAGCAAAGAGACGCTTACTCTAGATTTGTTCCATAAACACACAGTTAAATTCAGAACTAAGAAATCTGACATATGGCCATTTAATGTTAAAAATACTAGTGAAAAAGCAGTTAAAGTGTATTTGTCAAATTAACTTGGAGGATGATGGGGACTAAGCAATTTAAGTTTATTATAAAATTAAAGTTCAGGCTCAGCGCCTGTGGCTCAAGCGGCTAAGATGGCAGCCACGTACAACTGAGCTGGTGCGTTCGAATCCAGCCAGGCCTGCCAAACGACAACAGCTGCAACCAAAAAATAGCCAGGTGCTGTGATGGGCGCCTGTGGTCCCAGTTACTTGAGAGGTGGAGGCAGGAGAATCACCTGAGCCCAGGAGTTGGAGGTTGCTGAGCTGTGATACCACAGCACTCTACCCAGGGCAATAGCTTGAGGCTCTGTCTCCAAAAAAGAAAAAAAAAAGTTCAATCTTCCTTAGATTTATTTTCATTTATAATTTAAAACATACAAAAACACAATTCATAAGATAATGAACAGGAAAGCCTTCCACTTACAGATGTTTCAGGCACTCTACCAAGCTAGGTGGGAGCACCTGTTTCACTCAGTATCTTCCAGGTGGCACCAATTAGTTTATACCCAGAAAGTCTTTTAAAGGTTCAGTTAAACAGCTTCCAAGTTATCCCAAGAGCTTATCTGAGATGCAACAGTACTGTCTTTAGATTTGGCTTCCCCTCCACCAATGTTGCAGGGGTCCTCAAACTTTTTAAACAGGGGGCCAGTTCATTCTCCCTCAGACCATTGGAGGGCTGGACTGCAGGTCCTGGGACGAGTTGGCTCCTAAGCAGGACAGGCAGCGGTGGCAAAAATACCTGGCGGGCCGGATAAATGTCCTAGGTGGGCTGCATGTGGTCCCCGGGCCGTAGTTTGAGGACGACTGGTAGAGGATGAATTTCTTGCAAATCACATCCTTCTTCAGCTGGAGGATCCCCAAAACACAGAAACAACCTCCCAGTTTGATTTGCTGGTCCCATGACCGGTGACTATACTTCTTAAATGTGTTAAGTAGTCTTAAGATGAATGTCAGGTTGCTGAAGGTGACTTGGAACTTCTTTAACATAGTGATTATAGCCAACATTGTTCTTTCCATAGTTGACCTGTTTTTGTTTTTGAATCAGGACACTTTAATCTGTTTTTAATCTGTTCAAACTGTGAATGCAGATGCTTTGAATCACAACTTCTTTTTGTTTTTTTTCCCTCACTCTTCAGTCTGGAGTGCAGTGGGTTAATTACAGCTCACTGAAGCCTCCTACTCCTGGGCTCAAGCATTCTCCCAAGCAGCTGGGACTAAATGCATGTATCATCATACCTAGCTAGTTTTTGTTTCTTTCTTTCTTTCTTTCTTTTTGAGACAGAATCTAACTTTGTGGCACTTCGTAGAGTGCCATGGCATCATAGCTTACAGCCACCTCAAACTCTTGGGCTCAAATGATCCTCTTGCTTCAGCCTCCCAAGTAATTACGACTATAGGTGCATGCAACAACACCCAGCTAGGTTTAGTCTTGCTCAAGCTGGCCTCCAACTCCTGAGTTCAGGTAATCCACCTGCCTCAGCTTCCTAGAGTGCTAGGATTACAGGCATGAGCCACTGCACCTGGCTGTTTTTCTTTTTTTGTAGAGACAGGTTCTTACTATGTTGCCCAGGCTGGTCTCAAGTCATCCTTCCACCTTGGTCTCCCAAAGTGCTGGAATTACAGGCATGAGCCACTGTACCTGGCTGAATCACAACTTGAAGATGATCTTCTCTCTCACAAAGTCATTTATAACAAGTTTTCTTTTGTATCTCGCAATATCATTTTATCTTCTTCCACTATATTCCATAGTCTGAACATGTAAATTGGGACTATAGGAGTGGTAAAAAGGTCTTAAGTCTGTTATCTGTATTCTTATACTCATTTTCACTTGAATATAATGGTTTCACCTGATCCTCAGTGAACATGGAATTTCAAAATCATCTGGTTTTCAAAACTTCTCATTTGCCCTATACTTTCCTCCAAGGGATCATCTTGCTAGAGAATATGAGCTCTGACATTGGAGCAGTTAGGCAGCCTCAAATGCTGACTGGCCACACAGACGCTAGACCAGCAGTTCTCAACCCGTGGGTCGTGACCCCTTTGGACTGTATTAAAGGTTCACAGCATTAGGAAGGCTGAGAACCACTGCATTAGACTGGCCCATGTCTGGCGTAATTTTTTTTTTTTTTGTATACACCTCTGACTTAATACAAAATAGGCTGACCCTAATTTGAATCAGTATGACTGCAGATACCTTAAGACTTCTCTAACCAGCACCTTCTCCTGAAATATTTTCATACTTCTCTTATTTGAGGGCAGGGTGGGAGGTGGGGGAAGAGGCTACAGTCTTTACCAATATCAGGTACAAATTGCAAAAGCATAGATTTCTTTTTTTTTTTTTTTTTTTGAGACGGAGCCTCAAGCTATCCCCCTGGGTAGAGTGCCATGGCATCGCAACCTCCAACTCCTGGGCTCAAGCGAGTC